AACAAATCAGATAGTGCTAACTCGTTTCGGTTAAATTTGGATAACGAAAAAAAGTATATTTATTGTTTTCGTTTTCCAAATATGCTATTTTTTCAAACACATCGTTCGAAGAGATGAAAATAAATGAGTCTTCATTTAAAGTTCCAAAAAATACATTTGGGCATTGAATTGAAATAGAGTCCAACTGATATGTCATATTTTTTTTTGATATCAACCGTCTGCACTTTATAAAACACATCCTTTGTATCCATGGTAAGAATAATGTCTATAATAAATCCGAAATAATATTCGGATTCATTATTCATTTTTTCTATTCTGTATATTATACAAGAATCATCTCTTTTCACCCGTTCACAAGAGTTGCGTGTACATAGACGTAAATGTCCTATGTATGATGTTGAATACGTCATGAAATTATCTATTCCAAAGAATGATGCTGTTATCTTTTCCAAATTGTTCGTACAATGTAACACGGATGCAGTTACTGATGATGATGAGGTTGATTTTGATGACTTAAAATACTTTTTTTTCAAAATTAAGATGGCTGAAAACTAGAACTTTTCTTTTCATTTAAAATTTATTACGAATATTTTATTAAAAATGCGTTATTGAATGCATTCATAATATGATTACAGTTCATTAAATAAAAACAGTCATAGCTTTTTCCTCGTTTTATATCATTATACAAAAACGTTATTACATATTCAGAATCTTATTTACTACTAAGCGATTCGTGACTAATTTGTGTTACTTTGTATAATAGTGATAAAATAGTGATTATATTATATATTATATCACATATATATATTATATATTATATTTTAAAATATATTTTAAAATTTTTTATCGCCGCACATGTCTGGTTTATTATGTGCCATAAGAGAGAATTGTATGATAGTTATCATACATATATATATATATTCCTTATCTTTCTTTTCTTACTTACGAAACAGTCTGTCTACTATATGTATCTTTTTCGTTCTCTTTGTTTCTATCAGGAACTTCCCCAGTGTTATTTCATGGTTTCGTCATTTACTGTGATCGCTTAGATATATTCCCAGTTTTCCGGTGTATTACATCCACTCTGGGTATATTCCGCTTTCGTGTAAATCTCAGATATCAATATATGCTATTTTTGTGCAAAAGAGGTCTTTTTCAGTAACTAAATAAACTACACAACAACATATAACGGACCTAACATTGCGTCTTTCTTTTTCTCTTGATGTTTTCTTCCATTGTATACATGATGTTTTCACTTTCTGGACAGATATTCTATAAATTTGTTGGTTTTTACTAACGACATACGAGGCATGACACTTTGTCCGTTAAATAAGAATTTAAGAATTATGACATTAAGCATACTAAGGGTAAGGATTGATTAAAAACAAAATCATTTGAACTAAAATCGGTATCGTTAACTGTTAAACGTAAAAATTATTATAAAATTATTTGATATATCAGAAACATCGCTTCATCAGTTATTAAATGTCGTCCAATTTACGCCTGAAGACAGGGAAACGGGTAAGTATCTAAAGACATGTCTGATAACAATCAGTAGAGAAAAACCTGAGCTTAAAAGAGGTAAAAGAGTGAGTAAGCCTTTTATGCTGATTGCGACTATATAATTTATGTCTTTTATTTATGCCTTTGTTTACGTCAAGAATGGGCAATATTAGTTACTTTTAGAAAGTTGTCGGCGATTCCCTAAGCGTCTTAGTTCTTCGAAAATAGTTATCATTACTTTCTAGAGAAATGTTTGGTACAGGCTGTACGTAAAAGCGTGACACTTTATAATGGCGGCTCAGAAATATTTGATTTGTTCTTTTCCATTATAACCAAAATACTGAATCGGATGCTTTTCTTAAAAAGCTTCGATCTACTCTCATTAAAAATTTGATTTCGTGGCTGGCAAAGGATTTTAAAAGCTGAAAAAAATTCTGTTCACCTTCTGTTTACCTTGTAGCAATCATAGCTTCATAAAAAGGATCGTCGGGAGGTGAAAATTTTTCCCAAGAGCAGGATATTAGTCTATCTTATTGGACAGCGTTTTCCATTTTTTGTCCAAATTAGGATTTCTTTGGGCTCACTAGAAAACCAGGCGCTCAAGATCTACAGAGTTTGGAAATCACGCATGTTATGTCAGAAATCTCCTGACATAAGAATATTCTCTTTCTTCTTATCTTTCTCTTCTCTCTTCTGTTTATCATTGTATCACGTTTATCATCATTCCTTCTTTTCTACTTTTCTTCTATATAAGGAGTATGTATTATTTCAAGGACGGGGGTATTTTAGTTTTATGAAAAAGGGAAGTTAGGTGACCTAACAATTGCTGCACTAGCCGGAGTTCCCAGGAATCTTCATACGATTGTATATTAACAAAACAAGGTGGATTAAGCCTAATGCACGAAGAATTTGAACGATTAGCCGGTATCGAATTCGAATTAGTGCAGTAGCCGGATGATCGAGTTAATACTGAAATAACCAGACACAGAAAATTAAAATGAAAATACATTAACAAACATCACAACCACATTTACAGCATCAGAATGAATTATTTAAAGGTGTTTGGGGTGGCATATTTCGTATTAACCAAGTTGTTATGATCTATGAAAAAAAACTGTCCCTGGTATTAGTTTTTTACAAGCAACAATACTGCAAATACCATTAAAAAACAGCAAATGTTTAGTTAAATTCATTATAATGATTCCAGTCAACGTGTGAATGACACTGCTGTATTTCAAATGCCGTTCGAAAGTTTGGAGCCCGATGATATGGATAATGATAAATTACAAGATTTAGAACTTATTCAAGTTATTATAAATAGTAATCAATTAACAGCTGAGCCGGCTACTAATCAACGTTGTGAAACACAAAATTATGATATTATTATTATATTAGAAGAACAACATCTCAACCGTACTCAGCAACATAATATATCACCAACAAAACATCACTTTCATCCTCAACACTATCCAGATTATAATTTGATTACTGATACAGTATCTACAAATAACATTGATCAATCGCTGTTGTACTTACAAACACTTGCAAATGGTGACTCAGAATTGGATTGGCCAGATGATAATAATGATGTGTGGCATGAACACGAAATAAAACAACAACGTCAACAATTCTCGTCAATATCAGATATTAATAATATGGAACATTCGAATAATGAAATTCCAAAATTAGATAATAATGTACAAGGAAAACAAAATATCTTGCTTATAGATGATCAACATTTACCATTATTTGTTGTTCAATCAAACCCGAACCAGCGACATTGTGCTGCTCAATTAGCAACCTCATCGACAAATGCTAATCTGTTTCAAAATTATGCTGATCATAATAATCATCAACATCATTCACCATTACCACAACAAGTATTATTCAGTACAAAAACACAATGGTCAAGAATATTAGGTGATGATTATATTAAATATGATTATGTATTAATACAACTGTTGTTATTGATTATGTTAGCTGAAGGTTTATTACGTATATCAGATTATTATGATCGAATTGGTATTAAATTCGTTGTGTTTGTTCTTTGTACGAAATTACCTGTTATACGTGATTCTACTTTACTGGTCTTCGATAAATTTACAAAAGCATTTAGACATTGGGATTGGCTATGGCCTTATATGGTACCTTAAATAAATTTACAATATCTCATATTATGTTAAATGGAATTAAGACAACTGATATTACACACGGATTTGTTCTCTTGATCTTGTAACATTGATATTTTATTTTATATTTTTTTTGGTTTACAACAACAGATTTATTATTATTTGATTATTAATCTATTATTCTGTCGATTTGTTTCATAATGATGATCAATATCCTGTCATTCACCAAATATTCGTATCTTAATTTAAGTATTAAGCGAAGTAATTGTCGAATTTATTATTTGGTAAATCAAGTCTCATGAGGTGGCAGCTCATAAATACTTAATTAAGAGACAAAAAGACAGTAAGTGTCATCTATGCTGAGCCTACATGTTCAACTAACGTCACTCGAAAAGTCGGACAAATTTAATAGACTTTCAATACTATCACTATTTCGTAAATTTTTTATTTTTGTGGCATTCTTTTTCTATTTTGTATTGGTTTTCTGTATTTGTTTGTTTACGTTTTTCGCATGCTTTTAGATAAACGTACTCGTTCATCTTCTTTGTTGGGGTGAGGTGTTATGTCAGGAATCTCCTGACATAAGAATATTCTCTTTCTTCTTATCTTTCTCTTCTCTCTTCTGTTTATCGTTGTATCACGCTTATCATCATTCCTTCTTTTCTGCTTTTCTTCTATATAAGGAGTATGTATTATTTCAAGGATGGGGGTATTTTAGTTTTATGAAAAAGGGAAGTTAGGTGACCTAACAACGCACATCTTGTTTCGCTTTGAAAACGCGTTAGTCCGATAGCGCATGAAAAGTTGTCTATTGCATGTCATTTTTGATTGGTCCTACATATACTTTTATAATGTTATCGGAGATACCAAAAGTAATGGAGTTTTTCACTCTGATCCCATCGTAAATAAGGACACTTTCAACAGCAGATTGTGAAATAGCAAGTACGTTTGAATACATCTAACGGTTAAAAGCACGCAGAAATACTACCTTTTTCTAAATAAGGTTTTGTTTGTATCTTATTATTAGTGTCAGTTATCAATGGAAGAAATGTTTTCTGTTGTATGGAATAACAACGATAGTAATGTTTTGGCATCAGATGACTTCACTCTTGTGTGGTTTAATGATAATATTAATTATGGAGCTCAATGGCATGAAACAACTGTTCGTTTACGTCAAATTATTAATCATTTAGAAGTGTTCGAAAACCTGAATGACTGTGTCAATTATTTATCGTCTATTGACCATGAAAAATTATTTTTGATTATATCCAGCATATCGCTAAATAAAGAGGGTTTGTTAGACTTAATAAACCAGTGTTCAGAAACTGTTCGAATTTATTTACTATCTAATACAGAAAGCATTGATTCTTCACGTACCCAAATAAGTTGTGACAATAAAGAGAAACTAATAGATAAACTTTCGGAAGACGTTAAAATGAGCAGAGAACTATTATCAACAAGTATAATCGACTCTAATGTAGAAGGCGAGTCGACACATAATGTTCATACAAAACAAATTTTATTTAAATGTTTTGAGTTATTAATTGAAATTGTACGTCGTTCACCGCTGCCTCCAGATATTAAAAAGCTAAAGCTGCTTGAATATTGTCGATCAGAATACAAACATAATCCAATCGAATTACAAAAAATTGACGAATTTGAACAAGAATACAGTTCAGACAAAGCAATTGTTTGGTACTCACGCGATTGCTGCCTAAATGATTTATTGAACAGAGCACTTTTGACGATTAATATTGATGTTATAATGTATTTTGGTTTTTATATAGTTGACATTTATGACCAATTACATAAGTTACATGTTGAGCGTCATGATAGAATAATGAACGAAATGTGTAAAAATAAGGTAACTTCATCTTTGATTCATTCGATATGTGGGATGCGCAATAATCATTTTGGTCATAGAATGCTTCCTGATTCACTATTTTATAGGTATTTAAGATAAACTGCGCGACTCTGCACAAAACGTTGCGCAGTACACCTGGAATATCTTACTATTATAGTTCATACATACATGGGCTATCCGGTTGTACTCTCAAACAAAAACTTTTTTCAGGTTTAGATATAACAAGTTCTCTAGAAAATCGGATTTTACAAGACAAAACTAGTCCATCTTTAAATAGCCTAAAATATAGAAATGAGGAATAGGTATGGAGAACTAATGTGCAATTTGAAGTTTGTTCCTAAAAAACTCGAACAGTGCTTTCAACTGACTACCCACTTCATTCTAAAACCATCAGTTACCTTGTTTAAGAGGTCCATGCATACATTTTAAGTTTTTTTCTAAATATCAACATAGCAATAGACATTATTAAAACATATGATAAACATATAAACTTGATTCAATGCTTTGATATTCCAAGAGAAAATTCTGCATGAATATGGGGCCGATTTTGGACAAAAGTGACAAATTTCAGCCCTTCTCTTGACACACATATTTCCGACATTTTTTATTTTTTTTGTAGACTATTCCTTCTAGCTGCGCAAATTATTTGACCGTATATCGTGGACATTTGGCACCTCCCAATGAATTAAAAATATTGAAACGCAATATAGGTGGCTTGGTAGTGAAAAAGTCATATTGGACAACAACGTTGAACCGGAATGTAGCTCTAATGTTTGCTGGAGATGGTCCGCATCATCATCCATCTACAGAATCGATTTTGTATGTGGTCGATCTCGATGTGAGTCATACAACTAGAAAACCGGTTGCCAATATTAAACAGGCAGGATATTATCGAGATGACGATGAAGTACTTATTTCGATCAACACCATATTTCGAATTGACTCAGTAGAACTAGATCCAGACTATAATATTTGGATTGTGCATTTAACATCATGTGATGATGAATATCAAGCTACAAAACAACAGAACGATTATTTTGATATTGTTTTACTAGAACTAACTGAAATTTTACGTCATATGTCACCAAACACAGACATGGTTAATGAAATAATTCTAAAACGATGTCGATTATACTGTAAAGATAACCCACGCGAATTAGCGAAAATTAATGAATTTGAAATGAAGTATCGTTCAGACGATGCTGTAAGATGGTATACAAAGGACTCATTCTTGTATCGATTATTAAATATTGCATTACGAACAAATGATGTGAGCATCATAGTTGATTTACGTTGTTTCATAATTGGCCTTTATGACCAGCTACTAAAAATCCACGTTGATTTTGTTCGAACATTAGCACCAAATCAGAAAAACGTGACTGTTTATCGAGGACAACTAATGACCCTCAAAGAATTAAGTCGATTGAAGCGTCATATTGGTGGTTATATTTTGATTAAAACATTCTTCTCAGCAACAACATTGTCTCAAGTTGCTCTTATTTATAGTGGAAATGGGTCCCAACGTCCCCTATATGAATCAGTCTTATATGTCATAGATCTTGACATAAGTGATCGTACACTTTTAAAACAACCCTTCGCTAATATTGCACTACTCAGTCAAATTCTGGATGAAAATGAGATATTATTTCCATTGCAAACAATATTTAAGATTATTTCTGTTAAAAAATATACTGATGATTTGTGGATTGTACATTTAGTTCTAGGTACAAATGACAAAGAAATAGATATAATTCAAAAATATCTCAAAATAATATTATTGCCAATCGAACACTATAACTATTCACCGCCACTAACACCACCACCATCTCCATAAAAAGGCAACTGCTAGCCACAATCGTTATTCAATAGCTCAAATAAATGTATAAACTATAACTGATTGCGACGAATATATTTCTTATTTGTGGATTCTTCATTTATAGCAAACGTTTTCTATTACTTTTGGATGTTGTATACAAGCACAAATAAATCATCAGCACTAATGGCTTCATACAATTTCTGTGTAGAGGATGAAGATTCACGTTACAGATCAGTTCGAACCGCTCATTATTGATGTTTGTTCAATACTCAACAACCGGTGATCCATAGATGGGTTGTACGGAACCTGGCCTGTGGAATAGGAAAAATTCAGCATAGAAATCTGAATCCTGTTTAAGGCACCTTATATATTGGTGAGTTGATACGTTTTATGTGTAGTCGTCCTTGAATAGTCCACATCTATTTTGTTTATTTCTTGGCGATGAGCGGAAGCTTTTCCTGATATACGAGTTGTTCTGATCGAGATTTGTTCTCGTTATCAATACGACCTCCTCTGGCTGCAGCTAGATGAAAGAACTAAAAGTCTTTTAGTTTAAGCGTTAATCTTGAACAGAATGAAGTCGAGAATATAAATTCCCATTATATCCATCTGAAACTTAAACTATGAAAACTCAAAATCACTGCTTGCAGCAACCTAACGTCGAACAAAAATTCTTTTACTGTGATATAATAGTGAAATATAATAGTGATATAATATAATATATAATATAATCACTATTTTATCACTATTATACAAAGTAACACAAATTAGTCACGAATCGCTTAGTAGTAAATAAGATTCTGAATATGTAATAACGTTTTTGTATAATGATATAAAACGAGGAAAAAGCTATGACTGTTTTTATTTAATGAACTGTAATCATATTATGAATGCATCCAATAACGCATTTTTAATAAAATATTCGTAATAAATTTTAAATGAAAAGAAAAGTTCTAGTTTTCAGCCATCTTAATTTGCTTGATCGCTGGTGCAAATCAGCTACATAATCTTAACTATAAAGCTGAAAGTTTATGTGTTTGTCCGTCACGCTAAAAACTCGCGAACCGCTTAACGTAGCGAAGTGAAATTTGCCTCAGTTGTAGCGCTGAAAATTTCTAGGTCAACGGTGCTAATTTGAGCTTTCTACGTTTTGTCGTTCCTGAGTTATGAAAATTTGAAGTTGAGCAATTGAAGTTGAGCAAAATAAAAAATTTAATGTCTTCAATATAATAATCGAAGCAATCATTGACTTTAATTTAAGAAATAAAAGTCATAGTAAAAATTATAGTTCAGCAAGTTCAGCTTAACTTTATTATGCCCCAGAAGCGACGAGCTGTTTTTGATCTACCAAGAATTAATTTAAAAAGACAGAAAATATTACGCGAAAACCAATCAGAGGAAGTTAAAGCAGCTGTTTGAGAAGCGAATCGAATTCAACATGCTGCAAGACGAAGTAACGAGACTGCTGAGGAAACGGAAGAACGTCGAAGATCTGCACGTCTGCGAGCAGCAAACTCAAGAGATATAGAAACCGATGAACAGCGAATGCAGCGGATAGAAAGCAATTCAATTGCCCAACAGAACAGACTTTCAACTGAAACAGTTCAAGCTCGCCAGGATCGACTTCAGCAGCAGAGAGTGCGACAAGGTACGTTTCGAGCAAGCAACTGGATGTACATGAAAGACGAAGCATTTAATTATGACTTTGATTTAAACTATTCCAACTTCCCTCAAATTGTGATTGGCGGCATGTCGGCAAAGTGTACGTACTGTGCAATGAAAGTATAAAACTCAATACCGTGAATTACATAGTAATACTATGAGTTTCATAGTTTCAAAGCATCACAGTATCGTAGTGTGGCGTTCATAGTTTCGTAGTATCGCGGTATCATAGTATGGCGTTCATAGTTTTACAGTATCACATGATGATAGTATGACTTTCATAGTTTCATACTCTATTCAAAATACGAAGAAGTAGTGCAATGCTGCTTGCAACTCACTCTCATACTACCGATCTTTTTCGCCGATCATGAATATCACGCGGTTTTTTTCAAGGAAAAGTTGAATTTTTAGTTAGAAAACGTTTTAAATTTTTAGATTCCAGTTTCTATTAGAAACTGTTTAGGTAAAACCTAAACATTTTCATAAAAATTTTTAAAATACACACCATTCGATAGAGAAGTTAATTCTCTAAAAAAGGCTATATTTTATTTGAAAAATATTGCTCGGGCGAGATGCTAGGACGCGTTGAATTTTAAAAGTTGTGGTGCAAAACTGGGACGTTGAACAAATTTTTTTTTCAACTGAAATGGATTCAGAACACAGAAAACTATATAAACTGTAAAAATGAAGCTTTTTGAACAAGGTTCAATTACTCAAAACGGAATGACCGTGGAAAAAATTTTAGAAAAAGTTGAGTTTCTTAATTTGTTTTTTATTTCAGGACCACGGGTTTTCCAAAACTCATGGTTACAAAACTGATGGTTACATTCCATCGTTTTTTTAAAAAACCCATGTGGGAGTGCTGAAATACAAAAAAAATTTAAGAAACTCAACTTTTTATTTTTTTTCAATGTTTTTCTGGGGAGTGACAAAGAAGTGTTACTGAGTCACGGTATAAAACCCGATGCCTGGCTCTCAGAAAATAATTATGGGAAATTTTTTTGCCAAATTGTAGCTCAACATCCACTCTACAAACACCTCTTCCGCAGTATTTCTTTTTTATTCGGTTATCTACGAGAATAATTCAAGTTTTCTGAAAACTGAAAAAAAAAACTTAGCCCATTTTTGTTACTAGGTCACGGCCCTAAAAAGCTTCTCTGCAGGCCGTGAACTCAAATCAGATTTTTGTGAAACTCCCTCGGTGATATAATACCTGAGAAGGTTTTCTAAACTTTCAGCGTTAATGTAGAATACGGCGCCGCACGAACCTCCAGTAACAACAACCACCTTCCCACTCTTCTCAACCATTCGTAGTAGTAAAGAAAATATGGATGTGTACAGGTAATGATGTTTAAAGAGAGAAAAAGCAAAGAATATAATGAAATATGTCTTGTCATTGTGAAGTGCGCAACGAACAAGTAAAAGTACACCTTGCTTGTGTGTATTTTTCTGTCCTTCGCATTGGCTGATCAAAGAATACTGCTGGTTTTTATCCACATTACTACGCTCGGTTTTGTCAGATATTAACAATAGTCACTACCAAACTTATTCGATTCGATGGCAACAAGACCTATATCAAAGTGATGCTTCTTATTAACATTTACTTAATACCGTTAGTCGAAGAACTCTTCAGTTCAAACTAAGGCATGAAACAGCGATCTGAGTTCCCTCTTCATGCTATGGATTAGCGAAGGCAATCAGTTCAAAGCAACTTGAATCAATTCACCTCAAGCTGTACTTCTTGTTCTCTGAAGAATGAGAAGAGAGATTCCTTTTAACATATCTGCTCGCAAGACGAACCGCATGGAGTAACATTCGACCAGCCGATTCTCAAGCCAGCGCAAATCAGAGTGATCTGGAATCTTAGTCTCCAAAGCAGAAGTAGTTCAACCCCGAATTAACGTGAACAAGAGACCTTGGCTCAAGTGTCTTCGACAGTGTTTGAGACAAGAAGCTCTCGATCTCACTGGTTCCACAGTGATCTTTTGATGGTGAGTGAATGGCATAGGTTGCAGGATACAAATACATTTTGTATTCGTTTTTCTGTTTTATGTATTGGAAGCAGAATAGGTAAAGGTTGAAAACGAATATAATCAAATTAATCGACGTATTCTGTCTTTCTCTTTTTGAATCGAGGGGAGATCAAGAGAACAAGAGTTCATGCATGCATTGGACTTTTCTATAATAATGAGTGGAGATCAAGGGAACAGTGGAACAAGAGTCGATGTATTTATCTATTTCTCTTATGAAAATGAGCGGAGATCAAGGGAACAGGGGAACAAGAGTCGATGTATTTATCTATTCCACTTATGAAAATGAGCGGAGATCAAGAGAAGAAGGGAACAAGAGTTTATGTATACATTGTTTTTTCTAGTTGTTGAAGTTAATTCTAAAAATTCAGCCTAGATCAGGAAAACAAGTCAACAAGTCGAATTCGTTTTGTATTGTTTTTCTAGTCCAGAGGGGTCATAAATATTTCGTAAAACGTTGGGTCAAAACTCTCGAAAAAAATACGACGCATTTACCATTGACTCACGTTTGCGAACTGTCGCACACCTGTCTGATACAATATGACGCTTCCGGCATATGTCAAACAGGAATGTATGAATGATTAAGGTGGGGGTGGAGTCGGGTGTGGTGAGAGTGAGTCACAACAAATAAAAAATAATGTCCGCTAACATTTCCGGAGATTGTTTATGTGTGCGGCCGACGATCGTGTGACTTACGGTTGTGTGACCATGGGCGGAGATCATGGGTTCCCTTGATCTCCGCTCATTTTCATAAGACAAATAGATAAATACATCGATTCTTGTTCCCCTGTTCGCATGATCTCCGTTCATTTTCAAAAAGGAAATAGATAAATACATCGACTTGCGCTTCCCTCTTTCTTGTGATTTTCGCTGAATTTCGTCAGTGCAATGCATGGATAGATCGAACGTCGTCAGTCGATTTTGGGGATAGACATTTAACTGTAGAACACAGGAGATGCACTGAAAACGGATGCAAAATGTATTTGTATCCTGCATGACATCGTGAATGGACTGTTGATCAAGACTTTGGCTTTACTTTTCAAATACAGAAACGAGACATTCATCAATATCTCGTCGATGATTAACGATAGGTTACGCAAGCATTGTTGCTAATTTGATTCCGTTTCGAAGGGAAACGAAAGTGTTGTGCTTGATATTTGAGTAGTGTCGTTGTTGCTTCAGGTACCCGAATTAGGTTAGCTCCTAAAATCATCAAGCGAGAGTTGATGTTCGGACGATAACTTTTTCCAGTAATATTTCTATTTCATGTCATGAAAAAATTGATGCTTTTTCAATGTTTTCAGTGATTGATCATAGTACAACCAC